CCTGAAGGCAGGCACTGCCTAAATACAAAATCAGACCACATTGCTCTCGGTGAACAGTGGAGAGCAGAAGAACTCGGTAATCAAAGTGACAAAAGATAGTGTTATTTACCTCAGTTATTGCCTTATGTTACCATTATAAGTCTAAATGCCACTTCCCCTTTCCCTTGTCCCCAAATACATCCCACCAGGTGCTACATCATAGTCCTTCCTCTCTCTCAGTAGTTCTCTCATTCATCTCTCATCTCATAGTTTTGTTCAGGACAAAGAATAACCCTGAAACTATTTTATTAATAAAGAAAGAGGGTCTACAAATTGGGTGTGGAATTTCCCTTCGGAAACTACTGGAAACAGACTGGACAAATATTTCAGTAGAAAAATTTAGCCACAGTTGATCTGGTCCTGCGGTGGAAGGATGTCTTGATGACAGCCATGTGGTCAGCCGGTTTTCTGTCCTTTCTTCCCTCTGAAAAATCTCCGAGCAGTTTGAGTTCAAAAAGAAACATTACTAAAATACTGTTCTTTTAAAGAAGCGGTAACAAAGTTTTCAGAGGAAAAGATAAAAACAAAACAGTTTCCTCAATGTTGCCCTATTTTGGCAGCAAAAATGTTCCTTAGAGAAATCTTTCATTCCATGATAGCTGAACATGATAGATGCATTTGTTAGGAAATATGATAATGCCAAACTTGAGATTAAAGATGTTGCCAAAAAAGTTCTAGCACATTTTGTTTACTTGGTTTTTGGGTTTGTTTTTTTTGTTTGTTTTGTTTTGAGAGGAAAGGGATTTAGCAACACAGGCAAAATGCTTCACAGCCAGTTACATGAAATGATAAGACCAACTGAAGTATCAAACATTATCCAAAATGAATTTGCCTGTTTGAATTAGCTTTATATAGTATGAAACTAGAGACAGAAAGAAAGGAGGAGAAGGAAGGTGGGAAAGAACAGAAAGACAGAAAGAGGGGAAGGAAAGTGAGGAGGCGAAGGAGAGGGAGGAGGGAAAGGAGAGGGAGGGAGGGGAGGGAGGAAGGGAGGAAGGGAGAAAGGGAGAAAGGAAGGAAGAAGGAAAAGATAACTTATTGAGGGACAAGGAGATGAATTCTATAGAGGCACTTAGGTATGAGAATGCTAGATGCCTTAGATATGAGATTTTGCAGGTACCCACAGCAAAATCTGGATATAGAAAATACAAGGCTAAATCTAAGTCACCTTGATCTCTGTGAGATCTAACTTTGGAGAGTCACTAAAATCTGAGTTTCTCTACTTTTACAATAAAATCTGTTTTACAATACACCACTATCTTTTCTTCTGTTAACACCTTTTTACAATTTCTTTTGTTATATTTTTACTTCAAGTAAAGGCCACCTCAACTTAGCCTTCAATGCATTTGTAAACTGCAGTATGAACAGAAAAACATAACGCTGTTCATTTTTCAATTCAGAGTCCTTAAGTCAAGATTAAATAAAACCTGCTTTTTAAAAAAAAATATTATCACCCCCTACCCGTGGCATTTATTATCCATGTGTCTCCTCATGTTCCATCCTAAAACCCTTGCATCTTCCTTAATTAAAAAAATAGAGATCATAGCACTAGGAAGAAAGAGGCAGTGGCTAAAGATCGCAAAAGACATCATGCGTGGCTCCTTTTCCAGTAGTTTTTAAAACCAGATAACACTGATTTTCAAGTCGGTAAGCCTAGCTATTTTTTACCTGGTGTATAACACAAAGTTTGTAAAAGTAGCAGACATCTGCTACCTTCAAATTAGCTGTGGAATGAGTAGAGAAGAAAGAGTGACAAAGAAGGGGACAGAGCCCTTCTGCAATCACTACAGTTGACTGCAGTATGGTAGCAAAAGTAGCATCTCTGAATACTGAGGAAGGACAGAGATTAAAAGCTTCAAATGGCACAAAGGCACAGCACCAAGCTCACAGTATGAAATTAACAGAAGCAATTCCGTATTGCAAAGACAGTGGACTTTGTCTTTCACATGAAGTGTCTGAACGTGATTTCCAAGTTTGCACTTAGACTATATAACATGCTAGACAGCTGAACAAATTAGACCTGCATATTTTGGATGTCAGGAGAGTCCTCTGAGTATTCATTAACTACATCTTTTCCTCCCACTTCGGGTAGCTTTATATTCAACATACTGGTTCCTGCTACTTCTCTAACTCAAAACAAAATGTTACTTTAAAATTCAGTGAAGAACTACCTCTGGTTTCTGTATTACCCTGGACCAGGGCTCAAGCTTTTTTAATTGCGAGACCTTCATTGTCTTCTCCCAAACCAGACGAAGTTTCTCTTGTACCTTTAGCTATCTAATCATTATCTTCTAGGCTTGATAATATTATAATGTACCTTTCTGTTTTCAATATTTAGCTCTTTATCATCACTGGAATTCCATGCTGTGGTATTTTAAAGCATGTGATTCGCTCCTGAATCAGGTTACAGTGCATCTGATTTGAGAATAGCGTGTTTTTGTGGTGACCCATAAAAGCCATAAATCAGACACTTCTTCATACAAAACAGTATTTTACACACACACACACAAATGTTCATAATCTCTGCTAACATAACAGCAAGGTTAACTGAGTTGTATCAATTAAAGAGACCATCCTGCCTATATTCATCTCCCCCCCTTTATTTTTTTAAAAAACCTACAATATTTTTCCCAACAACTCTGCCAAAATTTTCTTTAATAATCCCAAGGTATGGGGATTTCATCCCTATTCGACTGACTATATGCTGTAACTTATTAGTTTTCCATTATTAAGACTAAAGTAGGTTTATAGAAAATTCTTTGTAGAAGATGCCAGTGCTGAATGGATACAAATTCTCTCTTTCAGCTCGCGGTAGGTATTTCACCTTATCCTTAACAGTTCAGTGATGAGATGGTTCTGCCCTAGGCTGAAACTCTTTGCGTAAAAGTAGAATTTGAAGGCTGTCAAACCAGTGTCCCTTTTTAAGCCCAAAATTTCTCTCTAAAGGGTTAAAAAATAGTTCAAAAGCTAGCTTTAGCAGTGAGTAACTATTGGTATATTTCTTTTTCCACCATAAAACTAAGGTCTTGGGAAGAAAACAATAAAACTCTTGTTGTAAGAAGTTATGTATATCCTAATCTAAAATCGGAAGTGCTTACGTCCTGCCTGCTTGCAGATTCTCTGCTCTTAAACAAATAGAAAGGTACTTTCCTGTATTAACCAAATGATGAAAAGCTCTAGGAAGGATTTAAATCTTTAAAAGTGTCATTGCGCTGTTTTGCTATCGCTTCATAACACAGAGAATATCCCTACTCAAGTAAGTGTATGAGCAAGGTAGATTTTCAACCCCCACAGCAAGAAGTATCAGCAGATTATTTTTTTCCAAGAGATAAATCCAAGATCCTTCCCTAGAAGGCTATTCCACTGCCTAAGCTCAACATTTGCCCTTCTGTCAGTCATCTGCTAAAAAATTGTCCAACCATTTCTAAATATGTTGAAAACTTCAGTAAGAAGCACAGGCAAATTTCTGAGAACAATTTTGTGGCGTTTGTAAAGAACGCTATTGGGCTTGGGGAAAAATTAGTTTTGATTGCTTGTTCTCCTTGCTCGTCACTCAACATCTGTGCCTCATAAATGGGTGTGACAAACACCAGAGCTGCCAAAGGCAACCAGCAACTCACTCTGGACACAGAAATGGGCTTCAAAGTGCCACAGTATTCCCTCTTTTTCTCTC